ATTACTTCAAGGAGAAAATATTTGGAATATATCAGTCATTGATAATATTGATTTTAAAGAAAGTACATTTGCATATGTAAATATTTTTGATACTACTCGTAATTCTTCTTATGCTACTTTACGTATGGTTTTTCAATTTCTTTTACCAGTATCATTAAAATCTATTACAAATGATAATAATAATAATAATAATTTTATTTTATTTGAAGAATCAGATTTTACAAAAAATTTATTAGAAGAATATGAAAATATTTTTTGCAAACTTTTACAAACATATTTAAATAATTGGGATATTAATAATTTATATGATGAAATTGCAGAAAAAATTCAATTAGGATGTCAAAGAATTCCACCACCAAATATTGTAATTCTTGAACTAGGAGAAAATCCAAATTGTGATATAAATGTTCATAATGCTTGTGAAATGTATTATGATGATGTAAGAACATTAAATAGTGATCATTTAGATGTAGCTTGTGATGAAGCAATTTTTAGACGTCTAATATCTTATCATGAAAAAAAAGATAATGTTAGATTATTTTTAGGCCAATGGCATACTTCTAAAGATATGTGTAATGCAATAATTACAATATTTTCAGATTATGGTATATTTAATTTAGCTGCAAATCTTGGAGTTCGTTATTTAGATAAACTTGAAAAAGTTATTGATTATCAAGCTACTTGTCGAGTTTTAGAATTAATTTGGATAGCTGTTGGCATTGCATTATGCAAATTTTTGCATAGTAAAAATAAATCAATGAAAGATATTGAAAATGAAAATAATAATGTATTAAAAGTTTGGTATCATTATTTTTGCTGGGCAGGATATTGGTTTGGACATAAAATAGGAATAAGAAGAGGAAATTTTGATATGCAATTTAAAAATTTATTAGCATTTTCTCCACTTTTTCCAGTTGCTGGAAAAAGTAATTATGCAAAATCTGTAACACATTTTTTATCATATGTTAATGATAATCCAGCTTTACAAAAATTGCTTCAATATATTCCTTCAGTTAATCTTACACGACCTGGTCATTATTTTGGATTTGATGAAGCTCTTGAGAGATTTGGTGTAAAATTTATTAAACAAAATATTGGTGGAAATCGTATGGATAATGAAAATTTAAAAGCACAAATTTCAGCTGTTCAATCTGAAAGAGATCGTCTTAATATGTTATTATCAGAATATATAGGAGATGCAATTTTAATTAGAGAAGAACGAATAGTAAAATCACGAAAGGAATCTTTATGGAAATTAGCTGATGATTTATTAGTTGCATTTAATTTACCAGATCCTACAACACATGATTTATTTAAAAATACAAAAGAAATGAATGAAAATGGTTTTCAACGTTTATTTTCTAGTTATAATCATGGCATTAATCGACTTAATACAATTTTACGTCAAGATGTTTATAAAACAGAATTAAGGAATGTAAAAGGTCGTCGTGTACGTAATATAATATCCTATAAATCACAAGATTTACAAATAGAAAAACAAAGAAAAAAAGGAAAAGGAAAGGAAGTAGCAGTAAAGGTAGATGATGAAAATAATAATAGTGAAGGGAGTTCTATCCCTATATCTGTAAAACGAAAGTATAGAAAAACAAGTATAAAGGAAAAAGAAATATTAGAAGATTTACTTTTCTGTATAGAATTTCCTGAAGATGATAATTTTATAAATAATATTCATCAAAAACTTCAAATTGAAAGTATAGATTGGGATTTAACTAGAATTAAACAATATTGGTCAAATAATAATTATGCAAAAAAACAAAAAAAACAAAATCTTTAATTTAATTATCATTATCTTTTTTTTTATTATAATAATAACTTTTCTATTCATCATTTTTACAAATGTTAACATTAATGTATTTCTAAATAAATAAAAATTTATAAATTTAATGAAACAAATTATCTCAAATAAAATTAATTCAATTTTCATAAAATAATCACCATCAGATAAATAATAATATATTTCTAATTTATAAATTTAGCATTACTATCGCTATGTTACACAAAAAAATTATCTCACTTTTTTACTTCTACCTGAAGATTCTTTAAAGCTATTGTTATTATTGTAAAAATAGATAAAATTTTAAATAGAATAGAACTTGAAAT